TGACAACGATCGTGAAAACCCTGGTAATGGTCAAAAATATGTTTAAGTGATGAAAGTAGTATTTTTGGCGTTTCCGTCATTGGCAACGTCACACTTGTCCGAAAGCTCCTGATGCCGAAGTCACTCGATCATTAAATCTTTATGGGTCTCATGGCAGTGACCTAGATTACCTGTTGATTGGCATGCAAACTGTCATTTGCATAAAGACATCCATACTTTTTATATATGTTTATCACCTCAAACCTCAACTAACTAGAGAGCGGGTGGACGAAATATAACATGTAATATATTTAAAAGAAATGCCTTTCAATAATTGTGTAAGTTATTTTATGACATTTTAAAATACGTTTAAAACACTGGGTACTTGAATTTAGTCTATAGTTCAATATATGATGTAGATCGAGCCGCTTTGCTTCGGAAACGAACTTTTAATAAACAACTAAAGAAAGATAAAGTTGACCTGTTCTTTAATGACGGTGAAATGGTCGATCCTGACCTACTAGTATTTCTTTTATTAGATTTGTGCACAATCTTCCACAGCGGCAGGACGAATTGAGTCACAAAAACTGTATATTTTCACGTCGGAATCGAGATGGTGAACTTAGATAAAATACGGTCAGCCTCACATACTTCGACACGTTGTTCAGATAAAAGAAATGTGTTAACTCCAGTTCTGTCATGTACGTGAACATGGATTTCAACATTATTTTCATCAAGATTATTCAGGTCGCTGGCTACACGGCATGAACACATATTGGCCTCAAAGCAACAATGTTTCTCTCAGATGCATTTTTTTCTCCATCCATGACGAGCATCTATCATAATGTCAACGCCTCAACAATCATCCTGGTCAATTGACTTCAACAATGTCATACACACAATCACATTCGCGGCATCGTCACACGATTCGTCCGGTGTGGAGAGAAAGGAGGTAGCATTCTATTGCCAACTAAATCACAATACCATCAAACCAATTGCTGTTATCCATTCATAAAAATGTCGCCGCTATTTTCCTTCCCAATGGAATGTTTGGGCAGATAACCGAGACTGATTATTCGCTGGTGTTGACGTTTTACATTTACCCAGGCAACTGAGCTGGTACAATTACAATCAATACAAAAGCTAGTGCATATGATGCAGATCATGATCGTTGTATTGCTTTATTATTACTATTTACAGTAAACTACGTTTATAACGAACACGCTTATAATGAACTGACCGATATAACGAACTTATTTTTAGTCCCGGCCATTTGTTGTATATATGCTGTATATATGCTTATAACGAACTACGGTTATTACGAATTAAAATTAGTGGTCCCTTTGAGTTCGTTATGACCGTAGTTTATTGTTGTTAATTGTATACTAGTACAGTAATATACGTTTATAACGAACACGCTTATAACGAACTGACGGATATTACGAACTTATTTTTTGGTCCTGGCCATTTGTTGTATAGATGTTGTATATATGCTACAGTGGTCCTGTGGCCCATTTGAGTTCGTAATAACCGTAGTTTAATGTATTTATAATAGGATCATCATCTGTTAAATATGAGTGACCTAATTTTGTTGAACGCCTCAGTCTAACTATCACATCAGCTTCATATTACATATTGGCTTGTAAAGAATTTGTTATCATCATTTACATGGTTCAAATAGAACTCGTCATCTCCATTTAGATGTTATTTCACATCTTTGAGAGGCATTTAGAAGTGATACGCATAAGTAGTGAGAGAGTGAGTGAATTGGGGTTGACGCCGCTTTTAACAGTATTCCAGTTATATCACGGCATCGCAGCTTAATGTGGGAGGAAAGCCCGAAGTGATGCAGTTATCAGACGTTTACCACTTCGGTGAAACCCACGAACACGGGTATGGTGCTGACAAACCTAGAAACATAATCGGGGCGAACCGGGATTCGAACCCACAATCATAGGTTTCTAGCGTGCCCAAGGGACGCAACTCTGCACAGCGAATCGCAGCGCCTTAGACAACTGGGCCACCCGTGCCCCCACAACGAAAAGAAAAAAAACTGTTGAAATCACCGATTGCCGTGAAATGCTATTCATAAACTGCAAATATACCGTGCACTACAGGATGACGTTTGCTGCCGTTATACGTAGTATAGTGTTTTGTTCATAAACACTGCTTTTATTCATCACGACAAACGTGTTTCTTTCTCGTCCAGAGAATAGGGCAGAACTAATTTGTGTGTTGGGCTGGAATAAAAACACCAATCGTGGACATTCCACAGTGTCATTTTATGAAGATGTGAAGACGTCTTGGCAGGTAGGTTTTGAAACCACAGACCTACCCGTTTGTTGAAAAGTCTTGGAGTCGTCTGATGGATATTTATTACCATTTAAACTAACGTTCTTGTTGTGAAACGCCCACATGGGTGGGTCTTTACATGACGTCATCCGTTTACGCATTATCCGATGACATTTGTGTGTTAATAGTGTTGTGTGTTATCATGACGTAATATTGACCTGTCAGATCTCTCGTATAAGCCCACTCGTATAAGAGTGCGGTTGGCTCTACCTCAAATGCCCCTTTAATTAAACGCTGCAATGCGACTGAGAGAAGTGTTGGGATTGCGGTGTGCGTTGATCTAACCACAGGGTGAGTCATTGATGTCATCACGTAGTGAAATATATTTACTGTTATTATTTCTGCACTAACGGTAAACAGTTGATTATCGTAATGTATTCAAAAGCCAATTAATCGTGTTAATAATTTAGTACCACCAAATTACAATTAAGTATGTACAAGTAGAATTTGTGTGTAATCTCATGTTAATTTCGCTTTTTGACCCAGTACGCTATCTAAGCAGACTCATCAGACCAGATCACCATGAAATGCACATTAGACAATGCGATCTAGTTTGGTTTTAGATATTCAATTCAGTGGAATTCATGGATTGAATCTGTAGAGAGTGTCAACAGCAAAGGCTGACTAAACAGAGTTTCAAGCTCGGAGGGGCGGTCGGGTGGTTAAAGCGTTCGGTCGTCACGTCGAATACCCGGGTTCGATTTCCGACATGGGTACAATGTGTGAAGCCCATTTCTGGTTTCCCCCGCCGTGATATTGCTTGAATATTGCTAAAAGCGGCGTAAAATCATATTCACTCACTCACTCACTCAAGCTCGGAAGTCGTCAATTCACACTGCCGCAGAATCCACTGTCGGGTGAATTAAGAATATTAAATGCATTATATCAGTGGATACAGGTATAGCTGATTTATACTTATGTAGTTGTAGCCTAGATGCAATCATGCTAAAGCGCATGATGGTGTCAATGCTCGCAGTCATCCACGGTGTATGGACGGTACTAACAATATATCAAGGACAAGGCAATGAAGTATATCTTAAGTAATTTCACGCCATCCCACTGCGTGTAACGCCTACAGAATAGAAGATTATTCACACGAGTGCGAATCATTGAGTGAATTTGGTGCTCGTCCCAGGAAAAAAATATCAAATTACCCCTGCTCTGTGAAACAGGAGTTGTGTGGCGCCATCCGGCCCTGAACAATAAAATGTTCTTTCGAACAAATAGAATATAAGCTACATGTGCATAGGATCAGAAAATGTAATGATTAAATTATATATTTTACTGCTTAATACTTTTGGCATCATTTTCAACTTTTCTCTGTGAAGGGCTAGGTTCCAATTTTCAGCTACTGGGATACGATGCCATGTATCAACCAATTCACTGAAGCTAACCACAGGATCCCGTTAGCCGTCATTACGACTAATGAGTTGCTGACGACCAATTCTCACCCGTATGAAACACTCTCACGTACGACGTGAATGATTGAAGTCAACATTGAAGTGACGCTGTTTCACTTTCGGTGACGAAAACGACCTAAAATGGGCTCTAAAAAGAGAGAAAATTCGCTAGGTTTGGTAGTTTTCATCTTCTAAAGTAAGAGATGGAAAAGACCCGTCAAGATCAGGGTAGAATAGGTCTTCAGCAACCCATGCTTGCCGTAAAAGGCGACTGACGGGATCGGTGATCAGGCTCGCTGACTCGGTTGATGCATGTCATCGATCCCAATTGCGTGGATCGATGCTCATGATGTCAATCACTGGATTGTCTGGCCAGACTCGATTATTTACAGACCGCCGTCATATAGTTGAAATATTGCTGTGTGCTTCGTAAAACGACAAACCAACCAACCATAGATGGAAAGCTGAGTTACGAGAGCGACTGGGAGATTTGAGAATAGAGTTTTACATCTTTCAAAACAAATGGCTGGAATACGACAGCAATAGTGGGCTTACGATCATTGCTTATTTCAAAATCATTCGATCTCTCCACCTCTTGGTAATGTGACTGTTATAATATGAAACGCTTAATTGTCAAAACCACACGAATCTGGAAGTAACATTACAAGATATATTTGTTGTATTTCATTCCAGTATCGACAACATACGTTAAACTACATACTATCCGCCGATCTAGCCAATCATCAGCCTTTTTGCCTATTTCAGCACATAGGAAAATACGGACACACTATATAAAGTGTTTGTATAAAACAGCATTGGCGTAATGATGGTATTGGCACCGAGCTCGCTTTGTGCATGAGAACTCTGGTATTGGCACTGAGCTCACTTTGGGAAATGAGAACTCTGGTATTGGCACTGAACTCGCTTTGTGCAATGAGAACTCTGTTATTGGCACTGAACTTGCTTTGTGCAATGAGGACTCTGGAATGTTGGAGTCGTAACTCGTGAGCCATTGTTTAACAACGACTTATGGTTGTTCTCGCGGTTGATTCTGAACCAGGAATTCAGTAGCCATTCTGAACTTACATTACAGACAATGTCACATCGTTCTTGTCAATAACACATGTCTGTTGCCCTTTGCTTTTTTAAAGAAGCTTTTAACAATGATGTATGGGATGAGTTAACACAGTTTAAAATATTTGATGTTTATAATATTGTTTTAGTTATGTATTGTTCTTAATATATGTTTTTAACATATTTCAGGTAAACGTGGATATATATGTAGACAGTATTGCGATGTGTAGTGAATATACGAAAAGATGGTTCAGGTATTTTGTTGCAACTTGGGCGTTCCTTGAGACCTTCCTCCTGGCCGGGTATAAAGCTGGGTGGGCCTCTCTGGTGTACGTTCTCAAGAAGGAAGGAATCTACCGCTCCCTTTGCCATGGTTCATCGCAGAGATATGTCAACAACACAACACCAATACATGCTAACATGACATACAGGAGAAACTTCGGTGTTGTGGACAACACAACTTACGGACAATATGGGGACTCGTGGAACTTTACCTTAGAAGGCACTAAGATCCTGCAGGATAAAGACACTGGATGCGCTGACCAGGATGCCATGTTTGAGTTGTGTGTTTCCATTAGCAGTGTGCTATCAACTTTCCTTAGCCTGCTCATCTGTCAAATAAACTTTGCTTATGGAATCAGGACTACAAGACTATTTTCCATGTAAGTTCATTCTTGAGTTTTAAACAGAGATTTAAAGTTGAAATATGGGAAATCAACCAGACTTGAATGACCTGAATCGGTTGTTAAGTGTATTCCCCAATTTTACTTGTAAGCCAGGGACATCTTCCCGAGGCAAAGGGAGTTAACTGACCATAAAAGATTGGACTATGCATAGACTCGTTAGTCCAGCCAAAATGTAACTCCATAATACCAGCCTAATTCGGAAAGGGTGGAAACTGGACTTTTATAGTCAGTTTAACTCTCTTGCCTCGGGAAGATGGGCCAGGGAGAGTATCTAGTGAACTGCTTATTTATTTTCAGTTCCAACTGTAACACATCAACATATTTTTGCTATCGATGACATTCTCAGTTATTCACTTTGATTTGAGAAGAAAGTGTTAGGTACATGTCTAATTATGGCACATAAACCTGCGTAAAAGTACAGCAACATTCCTGCTCTATTTTCATATATCTCGAACTACCGCATATCTTTTGGAAATATCCATATGTGACTATGATCTTGTTTTGAATAATGTCCAAGATAATACCAGTTAGTAAATAAACATTTAAGTTTTCCCCGGATGGTCGCATATGTGGAGTCATGTCATGTTGTATACAAAGAATCAGAGGGATATTTTGAAAGTGTAGTCAAATAATTATATTATGGTGTAAGTATATCACGTTGTAACATCACATCACCGTGCGAACGTTTAATTCTATTATTCCGAACTTCGTTTCGGAGCCAGTGTCAATGACGTCCAATAAAAATACACTGATGACCCGGGGTAGAATAGGTCTTCAGCAACCCATGCTTGCCGTAAAAGGCGACTATGCTTGTCGTAAGGGGCGACTAACGGGATCGGGTGGTCAGGCTCGCTGGCTTGGTTGATGAATGTCATGATCCCAAATCCCATCGATGTTCATGATGTCAATTCGGGCTACCCCACCCCCCCAAAAAATAATTTGAATACTGCGAGTAAGTATGTGATCAATAGGAGCGATAGAGAATTTGTAGATTTAGCCTTTGATACTGTTATAATGATTAGACTTATGGGATAACGAAATTAATTTAGATAAGTATTGACATTAAACATATAATCTCATGGTTGATGGAAGATATTACATGCAGAATATCAATGACAAATTAGGTAGTCTCCATTGATCGTGATAACTATATATATATATTGCTCAACAAAAAGGGAAAGTTATTGAAATCCAGTCTTCTGTCTGAAAAGCATATAATATTATATATGCTTATCAGACAAAAGGCTGGCTTTCAATAACTTTCCCTTTCTATATGCTTTTCAGAAAGTTGTTGTATATATATACTTACTCCAATCTTACTCCACTTATTTAATTATTAATATATATATATATATATATATATATATATATATATATATAATAAAATAATAAAGTCCACGTTAGTCCATCATCTACTTTATATCAGTTTCATACATAGTACTTTCGCTGTCTCATGATATAATATGTATATGTCAGTTACACTGAAGAGCTGTCATGAGACAGCGAAAGTACTATGTATGAAACTGATATAAAGAAGATGATGGACTAACGTGGACTTTATTATTTTATTATATATTACATGTACACCGAGTGAACATTTACCTCATTTTTGTATATATATATATATATATATATATATATATATATATATGCTTTTCAGACAAAAGACTGGCTTTCAATAACTTTCCCTTTTTGTTGAGCAATAGTCCAGCTGATATAGCCTGGTGTCTACATTTCACAACTGTTGAAGTATAATCAAACATGGACTTCCTGTTAACATATCAAACAGCCTAATACGACTCTTGCTCAAAACATGTTTCATCAGGGTTACACGTGTTTAGCCTTAGTAACGCGTTCAACAAGTTATTTTTCAAGTGGACACCTTACGTGCCCTTGTGTGTGTTTGTGATGGGTGACACCGGTGGTGCAGGGTACGCTCACCTTTTCGCAAACAGTTAAGGATTCACTGTGTATTGTTTCGGTTCATTTAGATATGTTTAGATATGATTTGCAAACTGTATGAATCCGCATAGCGGATATGAATCAGGTGACTGTTTAATTTATGCACATAACACGCCCACACAGGCAGTAGCCAATCAACGGAGAGTAGGATCAAAACAAAGTTCATAGGACCTGTCAATCAAGGCAAGCTGCGAGAAGAACTGCAACAGACAGACTACAAATATGTCCGGGAGAAGGAGGCTCTTTCAAATGACATGGGCCCACTTGCACAAAGCGATCTTAGCGGTAAGATGATCGTAACCCCCATGCTTTAACATAGGCTTACAATAGTTGTAGCGCTAAGATCGCTTTGTGCAAGTGGGCCCTGGTAATCACTGCCAGATCAAAACATTAGTTCCTGGAAGACATAGTTGGAAAAATGCGGGTGAGAAATGAAAACCGAAGACATGAAATTTGTGGAACCTAGGCGAGCGGAAAAAAATGACCAGCGAGCCTGTACGTTTGCTGTTTCATTCCTTCTCGGCCTTCGGTCTCAAAGGGTAGTTAGGAATTTCGCTAAATATCCTGTGCATGACGATACACGTGAGCAGACTAAAAGGGAATTCTCTCGACTGTAACATTGAGATTCCCCAACATTCGTAGTAATATATGTAGTCCGCTTCGGTGGTCGTAGCTAAATGTTTTACACTCATTGGGAAATGAATACAACGCGTGTAAGCTACTAAGCTTATCAGAATGCAGTTATTACAATGAACACAACAAACCTTTAATTATTTTATAATTATATACAAGAGGAAAACACAATTCCATAATTTCCATAAAAATAACCATGAGTGGTTCACATTACATGCGAGTAATCATACCGTTTTGTTTTACTTCCAAGTGACGCTTTGTTCTCTGACGTTCACGTTTAAAATTAACAAACACTGCGATGTTCGAGGAATATCTAAATAGTCGTTGCACGTATTTTAGATATTTTGTCACTGCTTGGGCATTCCTTGAGACCTTCCTTCTGTCCGGTTATTATGCGGGTTGGGCCTCTCTGGTTTACATTCTTAAGAAGGAAGGAATCTACCGCTTCCTTTGCAAAGGATCATCACAGAGATATGCCAACTACACAACACCAATACATAATGACTTTACATATAGAAGAGAGTTGGATTTGATTGAAGAATATAATGTATCATTGGGCTTTATCTCTGAACGCAGTGTGACTGGATGCGCTGACCAGGATGCCATGTTTGAGTTGTGTGTTGCCGTTTGCAGTGTGCTATCAACTTTTATTACCCTGCTTTTGGGTCATATCAATTTTGTGTATGGAATCAGGACAACAAGAATCGTTTGTATGTAAGTACATTTATGATTTTTAGCGGCGCCTTTTATGTTGAAATTCGAAAAGTCTTTTTTTTCTGACGAACATATTCATAACTTTGTCTGAGTGAACATTGCGATGGGTCATCCTCTGGCTAAACCTATGATGTAGAAAATGAAATTCTTTCTCTGAGAGTGTACAATACATTGCAGAAATGAGACTGGTTTGAAAAAATGGGACAGTGTACAGTGTTGTCCAGTCGTGTTTAACAACTACTAATGAGATTATCATGGGTTTTGAGGGGCGAAATTTATGTTCCTAAGTCAGAAGTTAACATCTGGATGCCGACAAATATGTCAAACGATTCTGATGTTGTTATTGGCGACCTTTCAGACAATAATGTGTTATGTTCTGAATATCTGATATTTAGATTTCAAAACATACAATAAATTACGCCGTGAATACTGATTCAGTCAAAGTTAAAATAATGGTGTTATTTACGATGTACATAATTTTCAGAGGAGGGATGATATCCCACAACAGAAAATTACCCCAGGAATTAAAAACTGTCAAGTGTCTTCGTGTGCGTGATGTACCGTATTCGCCGTAATAAGCGTCCCGCTCTAATAATCGCCCACTGCGATATTTGCTAATATATTGGCTAGTGAACAATCTCCATTAGCACCCCTTCCGATTGATCAATGTGCACAAGACTTATTTATTCGTGTATAATACACACTTGTGTGTTATATGCACCCTTAATTAGGGGTAATTAAATTCTGGAAAAATATATATGTCGTGTATAATACGCAAAGACTTTTGTTTTGTATTATTCAGACTGTCAGCATAAACCACGCAATTTACGATCTTTCAACATTTTTTCCCCCACCAAAATGTTATTCTAATAAAAGGCCCTATTTGTAATTTTGAGAGCGCCCTGGGCGTTTATTACGTCGAATACGGTAGTTTCAGTTTTATTCGATTTCAAAATGACGGTTGAAGAGGAGGGACATACGTGTCCCTGAAGCAACTCAATGTAAATATTTGTCTGCAAGAGAAATGATAGTTACTAGTGAGCGCCGTAATATATTAATGGTTCAAACTGGAATTGATCCAACCGAGATTTTGTATTATTGTCACCATCATTGTCCAAGTTAAGTTAGACATGTTATATTATGTCTTTACTAAACATCATATCACAATGCTTACGTGTGTTGTGGAGGAGTGACTGAAGCTGGTCAAGGGATAATTAGCATCGACTTTAGGTGAACGTATGGTACACTTATTACTAATATCAGCGATATTTGAATACTCTTTTGAGCAGCTAGTGCCGAATGCTGACGCCCGAAACGCAAACAACTATTTTGGTTTATCTTTTCGTGTTTATCTCAATTTATTTCCAACTACAGTTATTTACAAGTTGATTGGATGTCAATATTGAGGGAAAACTGTATCTACATCTACATGCCTCTTACCCTAAGAGGGGCGGTCGGGTAGCCTAGTGGTTTAAGCGTTCGCTCGTCACGCAGAAGACCCGGGTTCGATTCCCGACATGGGTACAATGTGTGAAGCTCATTTCTGGTGTCCCCCGGCGTGATATTGCCGGAATATTGCTAAAAGCTGCGTGAAACCATACTCACTCACTCACTCACTCTTACCCTAAGAATTTTCATTTTAATACCGCGTGTGGTTAGTGCGTGCATTACTTCTATGTAGAACTTAAAGCATTTGTTTTATGTGTATTTATTTTGAAGTCAGTGGATCTGTTTATCGAAGTTTATATGTTCATCCTAGGGGGAAACATTATTATCTTCTTTGTTGTTTTTCCTCCCACTCGCCCTTGAGGGAAATGAATGTATTCAACAAAATCCTCTCTATACCCTGAGGTATCTAATCAAAAGATTTTTAAAATACCATCCAAAAATTCAGGAGATAAAAACGAAATTGGGAATTGATGGTATCCTCCTGAGAGATATGTAAGATGTCGTATCATGATAATAGCCCATTTATTGCCTATCAGGTATAGTTACAGTTGGGAAAATTGACCAAAGATGGTCCTAATCACGAAATGGACAAACCGTATATAGGTCGCACTTGAAAACGAGGCTTAGTTTTTACGGGAAAGATATCAATTACAAACTCAACGTAAGTTTGCACACTGAAGGTAGCCATAGAGACATATGACTGTTTGTTTTAAAGTTTTCTTGCATTAGTCATGTGGTTTCCCAAACCGGAAGTGATGTCATTAAACAGAAATTGTTTGAAAGTTTGTAATTAAGATAATTGCGCTGGAGGCTGGAAAAAGTAGGGGATAAAATTTCCAAAATTGTAAGGGATATTAATTTCTAGTAATAGTTGTAGGATAATATTGAACGAAGTCGTAACACATAACAACCGTTCGCTCAGTCACAATGATGCCACCTCACACCATTACCGATCCACTGCCAAATCTGTCTCAGGCTGACATTTGCTTGACGTTCATTTACAGTTCAAAGTGACGTTAAACCAACTCACTCACCCGCTCTATGTTTAGTGTGACGTTACCGGAACAACATCATCGTTATTTGAAAATAAAGTTTGGCATTTATAGTAACGAAGGGAGACACACTTTTAAGAATTGTTTAGTTTCGCCACACTGGCTTTTTACAGTTGATTGATCTTAATTGAATGCCAGGGTCCTGCTGTTAATAGTTGTCTGACTTTAATTAACTGCTGTTGCATTGTGTATTGTGTAGACAATTGAACATATGTCACAACTGTACAGCATCAACAACGATTAGATGCTTTATGATTCTGTACAGTTTGGGACACATGTACTCTCTCATAGATGATACTGAACATATTGTTTCGAATTTTGTTTGAACTACATAGTTGTCACAAACATTGCAATGTCTGAGGTGTGTCTGAATAGCACATTCAGCTGTGTCAAATATTTGATGGTAACCTGGGCATTCATTGAGACCTTCCACATGTGCGGTTACTATGCAGGATGGGCCTTTCTGGTGTAGTCCTCAAGAAGTGAAGCATCTACCACTTATTTTTTCAATGGTTCATCCCAGAGCTATGTCAACAACACAACACCAATACTTGCTAACATACCATACAGGAGATATTTTGTTGTTTTGGACAACACAACATACTGAAAGTATGTGAAATTATTGAAATTTACCCTGAGTGAGTGAGTTTGATTTTACGCCACTTTTAGCAATATTCCAGCAATATCACGGCGGGGGACACCAGAAATAGGCTTCACACATTGTACCCATGTCGCTAATCGAACCCGGGTTTTCGGCGTGACGAGCGAACGCTTTAACCACTAGGCTACCCGACCGCCCCTACTTTACCCCTGAAGGCACTATGACCCTGCAGGATGAAGACACTGGATGCGCAGACCAGGGAGGAGTAATGTGTTTAACCATATGTTTTCCCCCACTCACATACACACATCCACACAACACTTTTATTAATTCTGCACTACTTAACAATGTTGGGCCCAGTCAAGATTGATGTTACATGTAAAGGTACAATCTTTTGTCATTTACACTGTGATTGTGACACAACTATTTGGTTATTTTATGGACTTTTAATTTCAGTAAAAAATATCTGAAATCTCTCAATTTGGAAATGACAAATACACGTGTTCTTCCCGTTGAAGGTTTGGCTGTGGGGAAACTTTATTCCATTGCAAAAGTCTCTATAATTAACGTGAGTGCAGTAACGAACGTCTAGAATCTTGTCACTGTCAATTGTCTTGAAACCGTTCTTGAATCCAGAATAGTTTTGGAAGCTTGCAGAAATTCAGTGTGTAGAACGAGGAATCCAGTCAGTATTTGACAAGTAGATAACAGTCATAACAAAAATGCTTCGAATCGTCCTCATGTCGCTATTATATAGGTACAACCAGCCTCCTTGTCCATTCCCGATACCTGCCTGCCATATTTGTAATTCACCAGGTGCGGAAAACTCTGTTACAATCCGACCACTTTGAAAGGAGGCGCCACTAATTACTTTTCAGTACTCCCATGTACATCCATATTTTTTAAAAATAAGAATCAGTTCAATACCAACACACCACACCCACACCCCACAAAACGACACCAGAATGTGTTATTATATTTGTGTCATGTGTACGAAAATAAAAAAAACAACATATAAAACACATGTACAGTTATAACATACGATAAACTATTAATGATATATTCGTTTTGCAGTCACGCAGTTAATACTGAAAATGAACTAAACATAACTACTATTTACAATTTTATATGACATTAAAGAATGCTTATCTTATGTTTATTAATTCTATATTCAAAATAAATATACAATAGTATGAAGATACTATGCATTGTTTGGGGGGCACGGATGGCCCAGTCGCCTAAGGCGCCGCGATTCGCTGTGCAAAGTTGCGTCCCTTGGGCACGCCAGAAACCTATGATTCTGGGTTCGAATCCCGGTTCGCCCCGATTATGTTTCTAGGTTTGTCAGCACCATACCCGTGCTCGTGGGTTTCACCGAAGTGGTAAACGTCTAATACCTGCATCACTTCGGGCTTTCCTCCTACATTAAGCTGACACGCCGCGATATAACTGGAATACTGTTAAAAGCGGCGTTTAACCCAACTCACTCACTCACTCACTATGCCATGTTTGCCGTTTTCGATTGGTGCCGTTTGAACCATAACCATCAGGTATTATGTTACTCTTTTAATTTGAAGCAATGATGAGAGAGATGATACAAACATTTATATATAATTCAATTTGATGGTTAGTGGGTGCAATAACATGCAATTATAGAATAATGTTTTCTCTAATTGTAGAATGTGTACTACAATGTTAAACTAATAGATTTCCAGTACACAATCATAAATAAACCTCTATATACCAAAATGGAATTATTGAAGTTAATGGATGATGATATATGCTCTTTTTGTGTCTCTTAACCTGAAAACGTATACCATGTGTATGTAGTATGCGTTTTGGTAAAGGAATTTTGGTTAGAAATTCAAATGTGCCTAAACTCGTAACTTGCATATGATATTCATATTACCATTCTGGAATAGTTATTTTGCTACAACAAAATCAACTATCTTTCTAAACATATAATTCGTGTAACAAATGTTATATTTGGGGTAACACTTTCTTATTAATGTACAGATTCTCGTACTTTTTTGGGGTTGAGTCCCGTCCGGGATTCAACCAACACTTGCCAGAGTGAGTCACATAATCGCCAGCACACAAGTCAGCGATCTAACCCACTAAGCCAACGAGGCTTCCACAAAAATGACAGTCCGACAATTGGTAGTCTAGATCACGTACTTTGAGTACCCCTCTGACAAGTGTAAATTGGCACGGCTCCCATTGCCGAAAGCTATGATTACACACTGCCTAAGCATTCTTTTGAAGTTTAAAACAACTGTCCTCAACTGTGTTGCAAAACGTACATATTTCTCAAACGTTTCTTCACTTACAAGCAACAGAACCTCTGCTCTGTTACACAGCGAAATTCAAAATTTACTTATCATTTTTAATTTTAACAAACCCATTAAATGCGCTGTTGTATCACCGGAGTTTCTGGCCCATGAAACAATTGAATGTCTGGTTTGTTTACAGGCCGAAAGGCATGAGTACTACTGTCAGGCATAAAACATTTACTTTGTTGATGTAAATTGTGTGAATGGCAGGTGCTAGCGGTTGGGCAGGAAATGCTTACCCTGTTGACGAACACCTGGTGCCATTACTGATTTTCAGTGATCCCTTTTGTATAATATTCACCGCCATATTGCCTTTTACGATCAATGGAATCTGTTTCGGTGGATAATGGAGACTGATTATTCCATGACTTTTTATATTTACATACCTCCTCTCACAAATCGTGACAATAGCAGGTAATCGTGACACATGTGCATGCCCCGCCGCATGACCCATATTGAATCCATGGTCATAGTTTAAAAGTTTTGATACCACAACGTCAGTGGATTAAGAAAATAATCTGTTACTAGATGTTTAGTTAGGCTTTGTATAGATACAAGTCGGGGTCACGTGACACATTTATGATGTTCATTGTACTATATAGGCTATATGGTCATTGCCAATACCCCCCCCCCCCCCCCCCCCCCCCCCCATTATGTTTCTAGGGTTGTCAGCACTATACCTCTTGCTGGTGGGTATCACTAAAGCGGTAAGAGTCTGAGACATGCAGCACATCGGGCTTTCCTCCAACAAAAAGCTGACATGCTGTGAATACGGTTTAAAGTGTAATACTGTTCAAAGTGGAATACTGTTTAAAGTGGAATACTGTTCAAAGTGGAATACTGTTTAAAGTGGAATACTGTTCAAAGCGACCAGTAATCTACTCCACCACAGTTCTTCTTTTTTCAGTTTTTTTAACTGCTCAACAGTTCGGCTTTGAAACAACTTTGCCTAACTCTTCGTCTCTTCAGTATGCGAGTGTTTTGAAAGTATAGCACATTTCACACGGATATGCATGTTCTTGGGCTGCTGAGTAACACGTTGATGGTGAAACCGCTTTCACGGTGGTTGGCTTTTGGAAAGGGAGGCCATTCAAATGACATGGACCTGTCACCGTTGTTTTCGTATTTGCAAAAACGCTCGTTAGCCACGATGCACGTTTTTTTTATTCAAAATATTAATATCATCCACCTGATCCCTTAGGCTAGCATTATTCTTTATCAAATATTTGCATATATTTTCTTTTCTTCTTTCCATCCATAAATTGTACAATATTGCATATTCGGTTCTTTCGAGTGAAATAAAAACCTCGTGAATTTGAGTTTCCTTCAATTGTTGGCGCTACTTCATTCTGAATAGAGAAGGTTGTAGACGGGCCGACAGTTTAGAAAGTTGGTAGCTTGTAGATTGTGTTATGTTCTTACTGTTATAACATTCCTAAACGTGTCCAAAACAACTGCGTCATATGTGTAGTGATCGCAACAGGTGGGCCCACCTTGGTAAAACGCAAAGCTTCATCAGTTGGGCTTGAGAATCCTGTTCTAAGATATGGGCCTACATTTGAAAAGCGCGAACATTCATTTGTTTGGCTTAGTGTTGATATTAATCAGGCAGCCCAATGTACATGAGGATGCTCTAAGGTTTCGTCTGAACTTGCGTGCCACCGCGGAGCCACGTAGCCCTGGGACATCCCAGGGATATCCTATCATGTACAAGAATAATCACGGTCATATTCTAGACCATTGCCTTCAAGAAAAGAACATGAATAGACATAACTCAAGAAGCATTTACTATAGGTGACTTGCTACATGTCATGATTAGGGCTTGGTTGAAGCATGTCATCGATCCCAGTTGGGTTGATCGATGGCCATGATATCAATCACTGGGTTGTCTGGTCCAGACTCGATTATTTACAGACCGCCGTCATACCCGTACCCGTGTTCGTGGGTTTCACCGAAGTGGTAAACGTCTGAGACCTGCATCACTTCGGGCTTTCCTCCCACATTAAGCTGACACGCCGTGACATAACTGGAATACTGTTAAAAGCTCCACAATACAGGGACGGTCGTGTAGCCTAGTGGTTAAAGCGTTCGCTCGTCACGCCGAAGACTAGGGTTCGATTCCCGACATGGGTACATTGTGTGAAACCCATTTCTGGTGTCCCCCGCTTTGATATTGCTCGAATATTGCTAAAAGCGCCGTAAAACCATACTCACCTACTCGTGAAATACTCCTAACAGACATTGATGGTCAAATTCAGTCCAAAGGCGATACAGTAAATATATGATGTTCGTGATAACCCCAAAAATGTTCACTGCAGCAGAATGAAATTTGCGAACGGAATGGTAATTTAAAAAGTATTTTTTTTAGAGTACGAAACCAACCTATATATACACTGTATATGCTGTGAGAACAAATGGTGCCCCAAAAATATTTTCTCAGGGGGTAAAAGTCATTCATAATAGTATGTGTTCCATCCGTCTCTCCTATGTTTCACGCAACAATTGATCACTAACTTTCCTAAATCCACCTAAAAATAGGAGGAGCTACAACTGGAAAAATGTTTTCAGAGTGACAAAACACTCTCCACAAGACTGTGACAAGGATGACTTCAACTTTCCAATCATCAACTTTCGTTTTAATGTCGAGCAATATTCCAGATTGTAGGTCTCAGTAATCCTCTAAACAAATGTATGGTAGACATTTGCCACAATTGACTTGTCTTTGCATGTGTTTGTGACTGGCGACACCGGTGAGGCAGTACACGGTCACCTTTTCGCTAACTTGATTCCTTAACATTTGCACATGAATACACACATTGAACATACATACAATGAACTCTGCTTGTGTCGCTTTTATTTGTCCTGTGATTGTACAGGCATGTGTGTGTGCGTGCGTGCGTGCGGGCGTGTGTGTGTGTGTGTGTGTGTGTGTGTGTGTGTGTGTGTGTGTGTGTGTGTGTGTGTGTGTGTGTGTGTGTGTGTGGTGTGGCATGTGTGTGTGTTGATAGGGGACACGTATGACTCTTGGGGAAAGTGAATGTACATATTTGTGAAGTAACGTTTCATCCAAGTATATTTACTTTTCAGAACATTATTGGTGATTGGATCAACCATGTTCGCTGTCATATCTGTAGGTAAGCTACCGTATTAAATACGTATGAAGCATATTTCATCAGAACTGCAAGCAGCATTGTTTTAGTTGGTTCCGACGCGAGAATGTAGATTCTTTGTATTACACTTTCATTTCAAGTTTTGAGGTGATATGTGACGTGATATGAGACGTTATCGGGATCCAACTGATATTTTTTTAAATTTGAAGTTTACACGATATACGGCTTTTCTATTGGACGAGAGGTTGGTCACGTGAACGCGAAAGTGACGTTCATAAGTGTATGAACGACACAATTTGACTGTGTTCACGAGACCGTGTTCTTGAAATGACGTATACACTGCCGAACATCCACATTCCTGGGGGAATCCCTCGGATTTCCGGATCCCTAGCACCAATACATACAGAAGCGTTCTTTCTGATCCGTTAGAACCTTTAATCTTGAACTCAGCGTATTAGCATACATTGAGAAAACGTCAAAGACTTGGACTGTATGATCGTATACGAATATTTTCGCTGCGACCCATCGTAGTGAAAAAAACCAAAGAAATGCACATCCAAACTATCAAAGTATCGACTCCATCCGTGTCTAGGCCGACAGCGAGCAATCCATGAATTTACCTTAGTGTCTATTGGCATATCTTTAATCACCTTTCAGTGATCGGATAATTGATCAATAATGCCTTAAACATGTAAAGGTTCATTAACAACTTCCGAAATCTCACCCGTCATGTTTATAGTGTCGGCCTTTTTGTCGTCTTGTACTTGATGTAAATGTATTACGACGCAGTGTCATTGTGACGGACTTACTGGGGTAGGCTTAAACAGACTTTTCTCATCTAATGTTGATATTATTTGAATACGACTGTTGTGTCAGAAGTTTCTGAAGAGCAATTTGTGCATACATACACTCATGTTACCTCTCTTTTTGAGGAACTATTTTATTCCACGACACAGCTGGTTGTTGTAAGTCACACGTACTAAATATATCCTTTGAAGTTAAATTTTTGCAATGAAAAGTTATAAGAATTGACTGTCACTTTGTGTAGGTGAGGGCCAAACATTGTATGAACGTCGTCACAAGCTCCGAAGGTTCATACTCCAAAGAACTCACACACATTGACTGTCAATTCTTGACTGTCAATAAATGCCGCTGTCCTAATATCCAGTGATATGACATGAAATGACATAAATATATGTAATGATATGATGATAATCAGTAAGGTAATGAACATGAAATGAAGAACCTTAGATAAATGCCTCATCATAATTTTAGATAACTGTATTTTATGCTGTCGTGACAACGTTGTTGCATTTATGACTATCACAGAAACAATAGCTTGATAGATGAATGAACTCCACACCACATCTCTATCGCCTAATGTCATGATTTGCGGGTTCACCTTGCCTTGCAGACACACCTTGGCTAATGTTCATAGGCTACATGGCTCTAGGAAATGGCGGGATGGGGATATTACAAACAAACAACCAGGTTGGACTATGTTTGTTTCTTTGTTTGTTTTTGTTTAAAGTGCTCCCATCATGATCATTGATCTTCGCGAAATGGGATACGATGACATGCATCACTTGATCCCAATGACCAGTGAAGATCCGGGGTAGAATAGGTCTTCAGCAACCAATGCTTGCCGTAAAAGGCGACTGTGCATATCGGAAGAGTCGACTAACGGGATCGGGTGGTCAGGCTCGCTGACTTGGATGATGCATGTCATCGTACCCCGATTGCGTGGATCGATGCTCATGATGCTAATCACTGGATTGTCTGGTCCAGACTCGATTATTGACAGACCGCCGTCATATAGCTGGAATATTGCTGAGTGCGGCGTAAACAACCAACCAACCAACCAACCCGATCCTGCGAGTCGCCACAGAAGGCTATCCTATTCAGGGTACGATGCTGTCAACGGGAATAATGGCCTTACGTAGGGCATCAATTTGGAGACAATGCATAAACAACTGACCTTCAAATAACATGCCTTTGGCCACCAGTCACAATTAACAATTATTAATATATATATATATATACATCTGCATTCTTTGTATTCTTCAGGACGACAGATATAGACTTATCTACGTAGGGAATCAATTTGAAGACTATATATATATAAGTCTATATCTGTCGTCCTGAAGAATACAAAGAATGCAGATCAAGGAAACTGGACACCTTAATTTCATGTTCACTAATTTCATTGTAGGTATCGTACATGTTTGCGAAAGGTGGGCCGACTGTCATAGGCCTCATATGTGGAGCTTTCGACGCCTCCGCGGCTGTCATGCTAGTTGTGAAGGTAACACTATTAACAATATTCCTGTTATATCGCGGGGTGTCAGTTTAATGTCGGAGGAAAGCTTGAAGTGAAGTTTTTTTGAGACGTTTATCACTTCGGTGAAACCCAAGAGCACGGGTATGGTGCTGACAAAACTAGAAACATAATTTGGGAGAACCGGGATTCGAACTCACAATCATAGGTTTCTGGCGTGCCCAGGGGACGCAACTCGAATCGCGGCGCCTTAGACGACCGGGCCACACGTTCCACCCGAACTGACAATATCAATTGTGTCAGGGAACAATAACTTACAATCTGCCATGCCATACATTGAGATCAGCCGATCCTAGTAATTCGGTTCTTATGACACTCATAGAATGCTGGGACCCGTGAAGATCCCATGCTTGCCGTAAAAGGCGACTATGCTTGTCGTAAGAGGCGACTAACGGGATCGGGTGGTCAGGCTAGCTGACTTGGTTGAAGCATGTCATTGACCCCAATTGCGTGGATCTATGCTCATGATATCAATCACTGGATTGTCTGGTCCAGACTCGATTATTTACAGACCGCCGTTATATAGCTGGAATATTGCTGAGTGCGGCGTAAACGACTAACCAACTAACCAACCCGATCCAGTGAGTCGCCACAGAAGGCCATCCTATTCAGGATACGATGCCCTCAACGGCAATAATGACCCTACGTAGGGCATCAATTTGGAGACAATGCCTAAACAACTGACCCCCAAATAACATGCATTTGGACACCAGTCACAATTAACATATATATAAATATATATATATTCAAATTGATGCCCTACGTAGATAAGTCTGTCGTCCCAATTGCGTGGATCGATGCTCATGATATCAATCACTGGATTATCTTGTCCAGATTCGATTATTCACAGACCGCGGTCGTATAGCTGGAATATTGCTGAGTGTTGTGTAAAACAACCAGCCAGCCAACCATAGAATGCTGGGAACTAGTTTGGTGAGGTGAAATGGGGTTTAACGTCGCGTCCAAGATTATTGCACTTATATAGCGACGTGCATGCACGTGTGTGTATGTGGCTGCTTGTACTAGTCCGGACTGATGCCGATTTATAGTGCTAGCTCACTGAGATACCATGCCGCAGTTTAACATGAATATACTGACTCCGAGCCGACCAGTCCTTGTTTTAGCCCCTTAATGCCGAGCGCCAGACAGGGTAACAACAAGTACCATCTTTTAACGTCTTTTGGTATGACGCGGTTTGGGATCGAACCCCGGACCTTCCGCTCTCCGGGCGGACGCTCTATCATTAGACCACGGAGGCGGTCGCTGGGAACTACTGCTAAGGGTTGATATGCTAGCGCAACGTTCACTGTTGTAAACCCATCACTGAGAGACGTGTATATGAGTCTGCCATCTTGAGCATAAACAATGTTGAAATTCGGTTTCTTTTGCAGCTTGCATATGACCATGGAGTGTCTCTTCAAATGTCTTTCATCGTTATCGGCTGTTTGAACATGTTGGTAGTCATAAGTACGTTTTCGTTCCTTCCTAAGAAATTTATCAAAACCACACAAACCGATTCGACCACTGGTGCAGACCACGAAGCAGTCTTATCGGAAGAGGCAAAACATGCTTCTGCAAAGGACAATAATGACAGACAAATGTCGGAAAGGACAATTCTCCTTAGTGGTGCCTTGCATGAACTAAGACCAGGGGTCAGTGAACCCCACACGGGAACGGACGCTATTACCAGAGATGAAGAGAGGAACCGTGTGTCAATGGATGGTGAAGAACCCAGGATGGAGGATGATAAAGAGACCTCCAGAAACAGCCGACTGTTGGGGTACATCTTCAGTCCTCTTTATCTGCTGACGCTTCTATGGACGTGTGTGATTCAATTGCTATTTGTGCTTTTTATTTGTTCTTTAAATGCCTGGCTGGAACATATCACACACGGCGTAGAAGAGAGAGGTGAGATCCGAAACAGGTGTTTGTATACAGGCAGGAGAATTAGTAATGCAGTTGTTCTACAATCGACTCTGCTTTATGCAGAGATTTCTATTGGATATGGAAGGGTTTTGTAGCTTTTTGTAGCTATTATTGTATGTACACATGTGAGTGAGTGAGTATGGTTTTACGCCGCTTTTAGCAATATTCCAGCAAGATCACGGCGGGGGACACAAGAAATGGGCTTAACATGTAGATCTGTGTAAAGCTGGAGAGGGATATATAAATTCAGTTGTTGTATGTCGATCTGAGAGTTGTTAATTCAATAGATGTATGTCAATTTGAGAGTTGTTTTGTTGCTTTATTATTATTATTATTGTATGTACACATGTAGATCTGTGTAAAGACTGGTGAGAGTTATTAAGTCAGTTGTTGTATGTTGATCTGAGAGTTATTAAGTCGAAAGATGCATATCAATCTGAGAGTTATTAAGTCAGTTGTTGTATGTCGATCTGAGAGTTATAAAGTCAGTTGTTGTATGTCGATCTGAGTTATTAAGTCAGATGTTGTATGTCGATCTGAGAGTTATTAAGTCAGTTGTTGTATGTCGATGTGAGAGTTATTAAGTCAGTTGTTGTATGTCGATGTGAGAATTATTAAGTCAGATGTTGTATGTCGATGTGAGAATTATTAAGTCAGTTGTTGTATGTCGATGTGAGAATTATTAAGTCAGATTTTGTACGTCAATATGAGAGTTATTAAGTCAGTTGTTGTATGTCGATGTGAGAGTTATTAAGTCAGATTTTGTACGTCAATATGAGAGTTATTAAGTCAGTTGTTGTACGTCGATGTGAGAGTTATTAAGTCAGTTGTTGTATGTCGATGTGAGAGTTATTAAGTCAGCTGTTGTATGTCGATGTGAGAATTATTAAGTCAGTTGTTGTATGTCGATGTGTGAGTTATTAAGTCAGTTGTTGTATGTCGATGTGAGAATTATTAAGTCAGATTTTGTACGTCGATGTGAGAGTTATTAAGTCAGTTGTTGTATATCGATGTGAGAGTTATTAAGTCAGTGTTGTATGTCGATGTGAGAGTTATTAAGTCAGCTGTTGTATGTCGATGTGAGAATTATTAAGTCAGTTGTTGTATGTCGATCTGAGAGTTATTAAGTCAGTTGTTGTATGTCGATCTGAGAGTTATTAAGTCAGTTGTTGTATGTCGATGTGAGAATTATTAAGTCAGATTTTGTACGTCAATATGAGAGTTATTAAGTCAGTTGTTGTATGTCGATGTGAGAGTAATTAAGTCAGCTGTTGTATGTCGATGTGAGAGTTATTAAGTCAGTTGTTGTATGTCGATGTGAGAGTTATTAAGTCAGTTGTTGTATGTCGATGTGAGAGTTATTAAGTCAGTTGTTGTATGTCGATGTGTGAGTTATTAAGTCAGTTGTTGTATGTCGATGTGTGAGTTATTAAGTCAGCTGTTGTATGTCGATGTGAGAGTTATTAAGTCAGTTGTTGTATGTCGATGTGAGAGTTATTAAGTCAGTTGTTGTATGTCGATGTGAGAGTAATTAAGTCAGTTGTTGTATGTCGATGTGAGAGTTATTAAGTCAGTTGTTGTATGTCGATGTGAGAGTTATTAAGTCAGATTTTGTACGTCAATATGAGAGTTATTAAGTCAGTTGTTGTATGTCGATGTGTGAGTTATTAAGTCAGTTGTTGTACGTCGATGTGAGAGTTATTAAGTCAGTTGTTGTATGTCGATGTGAGAGTTATTAAGTCAGTTGTTGTACGTCGATGTGAGAGTTATTAAGTCAGTTGTTGTACGTCGATCTGAGAGTTATTAAGTCAGTTGTTGTATGTCGATGTGAGAGTTATTAAGTCAGTTGTTGTATGTCGATGTGTGAGTTATTAAGTCAGCTGTTGTATGTCGATGTGAGAGTTATTAAGTCAGTTGTTGTATGTCGATGTGAGAGTTATTAAGTCAGTTGTTGTATGTCGATGTGAGAGTTATTAAGTCAGTTGTTGTATGTCGATGTGAGAGTTATTAAGTCAGCTGTTGTATGTCGATCTGAGAGTTATTAAGTCAGATGTTGTATGTCGATGTGAGAGTTATTAAGTCAGTTGTTGTATGTCGATGTGAGAGTTATTAAGTCAGTTGTTGTATGTCGATCTGAGAGTTATTAAGTCAGTTGTTGTATGTCGATGTGAGAGTTATTAAGTCAGTTGTTGTATGTCGATGTGAGAGTTATTAAGTCAGTTGTTGTATGTCGATCTGAGAGTTATTACGTCAGTTGTTGTATGTCGATCTGGGAGTTATTAAGTCAGTTGTTGTATGTCGATGTGAGAGTTATTAAGTCAGTTGTTGTATGTCGATGTGAGAGTTATTAAGTCAGCTGTTGTATGTCGATGTGAGAGTTATTAAGTCAGCTGTTGTATGTCGATGTGAGAGTTATTAAGTCAGTTGTTGTATGTCGCTGTGAGAGTTATTAAGTCAGTTGTTGTATGTCGATGTGAGAGTTATTAAGTCAGTTGTTGTATGTCGATGTGAGAGTTATTAAGTCAGTTGTTGTATGTCGATGTGAGAGTTATTAAGTCAGCTGTTGTATGTCGATGTGAGAGTTATTAAGTCAGTTGTTGTACGTCGATCTGAGAGTTATTAAGTCAGTTGTTGTATGTCGATGTGAGAGTTATTAAGTCAGCTGTTGTATGTCGATGTGAGAGTTATTAAGTCAGTTGTTGTATGTCGATGTGAGAGTTATTAAGTCAGCTGTTGTATGTCGATCTGAGAGTTATTAAGTCAGTTGTTGTATGTCGATCTGAGAGTTATTAAGTCAGCTGTTGTATGTCGATGTGAAAGTAATTAAGTCAGTTGTTGTATGTCGATCTGAGAGTTATTAAGTCAGTTGTTGTATGTCGATGTGAGAATTATTAAGTCAGTTGTTGTATGTCGATGTGTGAGTTATTAAGTCAGTTGTTGTATGTCGATGTGAGAGTTATTAAGTCAGTTGTTGTATGTCGATGTGTGAGTTATTAAGTCAGTTGTTGTATGTCGATGTGAGAGTTATTAAGTCAGTTGTTGTATGTCGATGTGTGAGTTATTAAGTCAGTTGTTGTATGTCGATGTGAGAGTTATTAAGTCAGTTGTTGTATGTCGATGTGAGAGTTATTAAGTCAGTTGTTGTATGTCGATGTGAGAGTTATTAAGTCAGTTGTTGTATGTCGATGTGAGAGTTATTAAGTCAGCTGTTGTATGTCGATGTGAGAGTTATTAAGTCAGTTGTTGTACGTCGATCTGAGAGTTATTAAGTCAGTTGTTGTATGTCGATGTGAGAGTTATTAAGTCAGCTGTTGTACGTCGATGTGAGAGTTATTAAGTCAGTTGTTGTATGTCGATGTGAGAGTTATTAAGTCAGCTGGTTTATGTCGATCTGAGAGTTATTAAGTCAGTTGTTGTATGTCGATCTGAGAGTTATTAAGTCAGCTGTTGTATGTCGATGTGAAAGTAATTAAGTCAGTTGTTGTATGTCGATCTGAGAGTTATTAAGTCAGTTGTTGTATGTCGATGTGAGAATTATTAAGTCAGTTGTTGTATGTCGATGTGTGAGTTATTAAGTCAGTTGTTGTATGTCGATGTGAGAGTTATTAAGTCAGTTGTTGTATGTCGATGTGTGAGTTATTAAGTCAGTTGTTGTATGTCGATGTGAGAGTTATTAAGTCAGTTGTTGTATGTCGATGTGTGAGTTATTAAGTCAGTTGTTGTATGTCGATGTGAGAGTTATTAAGTCAGTTGTTGTATGTCGATGTGAGAGTTATTAAGTCAGTTGTTGTATGTCGATGTGAGAGTTATTAAGTCAGTTGTTGTATGTCGATGTGAGAGTTATTAAGTCAGTTGTTGTATGTCGATGTGTGAGTTATTAAGTCAGTTGTTGTATGTCGATGTGAGAGTTATTAAGTCAGTTGTTGTATGTCGATGTGAGAGTTATTAAGTCAGTTGTTGTATGTCGATGTGAGAGTTATTAAGTCAGTTGTTGTATGTCGATGTGTGAGTTATTAAGTCAGCTGTTGTATGTCGATGTGAGAGTTATTAAGTCAGTTGTTGTATGTCGATGTGAGAGTTATTAAGTCAGTTGTTGTATGTCGATGTGTGAGTTATTAAGTCAGTTGTTGTATGTCGATGTGTGAGTTATTAAGTCAGTTGTTGTATGTCGATGTGAGAGTTATTAAGTCAGTTGTTGTATGTCGATGTGAGAGTTATTAAGTCAGTTGTTGTATGTCGATGTGAGAGTTATTAAGTCAGTTGTTGTATGTCGATCTGAGAGTTATTAAGTCAGCTGTTGTATGTCGATGTGTGAGTTATTAAGTCAGTTGTTGTATGTCGATGTGAGAGTTATTAAGTCAGTTGTTGTATGTCGATGTGAGAGTTATTAAGTCAGTTGTTGTATGTTGATGTGAGAATTATTAAGTCAGTTGTTGTATGTCGATGTGTGAGTTATTAAGTCAGTTGTTGTATGTCGATGTGAGAGTTATTAAGTCAGTTGTTGTATGTCGATGTGTGAGTTATTAAGTCAGTTGTTGTATGTCGATGTGAGAGTTATTAAGTCAGTTGTTGTATGTCGATGTGAGAGTTATAAAGTCAGTTGTTGTATGTCGATCTGAGAGTTATTAAGTCAGTTGTTGTATGTCGATGTGTGAGTTATTAAGTCAGTTGTTGTATGTCGATGTGAGAGTTATTAAGTCAGTTGTTGTATGTCGATGTGTGAGTTATTAAGTCAGTTGTTGTATGTCGATGTGAGAGTTATTAAGTCAGTTGTTGTATGTCGATGTGAGAGTTATAAAGTCAGTTGTTGTATGTCGATCTGAGAGTTATTAAGTCAGTTGTTGTATGTCGATGTGTGAGTTATTAAGTCAGTTGTTGTATGTCGATGTGAGAGTTATTAAGTCAGTTGTTGTATGTCGATGTGTGAGTTATTAAGTCAGTTGTTGTATGTCGATGTGTGAGTTATTAAGTCAGATGTTGTATGTCGATCTGAGAGTTATTAAGTCAGATTTTGTATGTCGATGTGAGAGTTATTAAGTCAGATTTTGTATGTCGATGTGAGAGTTATTAAGTCAGTTGTTGTACGTCGATGTGAGAGTTATTAAGTCAGCTGTTGTATGTCGATGTGAGAGTTATTAAGTCAGATTTTGTATGTCGATGTGAGAGTTATTAAGTCAGTTGTTGTATGTCGATGTGAGAGTTATTAAGTCAGTTGTTGTATGTCGATCTGAGAGTTATTAAGTCAGATGTTGTATGTCGATGTGAGAGTTATTAAGTCAGTTGTTGTATGTCGATGTGTGAGTTATTAAGTCAGTTGTTGTATGTCGATGTGAGAGTTATTAAGTCAGTTGTTGTATGTCGATCTGAGAGTTATTAAGTCAGTTGTTGTATGTCGATCTGAGAGTTATTAAGTCAGATGTTGTACGTCGATGTGAGAGTTATTAAGTCAGATGTTGTATGTCGATCTGAGAGTTATTAAGTCAGCTGTTGTATGTCGATGTGAGAATTATTAAGTCAGATTTTGTACGTCGATGTGAGAGTTATTAAGTCAGTTGTTGTATGTCGATGTGAGAGTTATTAAGTCAGTTGTTGTATGTCGATGTGAGAGTTATTAAGTCAGTTGTTGTATGTCGATCTGAGAGTTATTAAGTCAGTTGTTGTATGTCGATGTGAGAGTTATTAAGTCAGTTGTTGTATGTCGATGTGTGAGTTATTAAGTCAGCTGTTGTATGTCGATGTGAGAATTATTAAGTCAGATTTTGTACGTCGATGTGAGAGTTATTAAGTCAGTTGTTGTATGTCGATGTGAGAGTAATTAAGTCAGTTGTTGTATGTCGATGTGAGAATTATTAAGTCAGATTTTGTACGTCGATGTGAGAGTAATTAAGTCCGTTGTTGTATGTCGATGTGAGAGTAATTAAGTCAGTTGTTGTATGTCGATGTGAGAATTATTAAGTCAGATTTTGTACGTCGATGTGAGAGTTATTAAGTCAGTTGTTGTATGTCGATGTGAGAGTTATTAAGTCAGTTGTTGTATGTCGATGTGACAGTTATTAAGTCAGTTGTTGTATGTCGCTTTTATTTAATATGCATATTCATGCCGTGTTATCACCGATAAGGCTACGTGCATTAATACTGTTGTTAGCCTCAAGCGATTTACTTTTCACTCATTTACAAATGAATGCATATATCCAATTTGGTTTGGCAATGATCAGATGTTTACAATAGATAACGCTCGTTTTGAATTTCATCAGACTTATGCCGTTTACATATTCTAATTGATGATATTTCAAATTCCCATAACCAAATAAATAATGTTATTCTTTTTCCTCTTTGTTGTACGATTTCATGGTTTTGAAGATAATTATTTCATTTGATGTCTCTGTATAATTGTGCAAGTATCACATTAAATGTCCATGGCATTTGATCAGTCCTTATCAGCATAATGTTATATTTAAAATGTAACACAATTACATATACATTTACACATATCTAAATGGAAATCAGTGTTTTTTGTGTCTGCATTTGCATTTATGTTATGATAAAAATATATATACAATTGATTATGAATATTTATTTAAAAAAAGTTGTTTGTGTTGTTTAACTCCGCACTCAGCCATATTCCAGCTATATGACGGCGGTCTGTTGAAGTATTGTTGGTATACAGGATACCACATAAATAGACATATGCTTAGCATATAGTTGGAATCGTACAATGTACTTTCGTATAGATATGGAAATGTTTTTGTCACTTTTTAATTTTTTTGTAATGGACGTAACTAGTCAAGATGTACTACTAACACAAGAAGCTGCAAATACATTGAAAGATGGTAGATTTGCATTTGCCATATTTCTAATTATTGTCAGAATATAAACAAAAATGAAAGCAGATGAAAGAGGAAATGTTGATATGAAAGAAACAATAAAAGTTGGTCCTTTCATTCTGTACTCTTAATAGTAAAGGCACGGATGTATAATAATTATAAATGTATATTTGTAAATACTGAAAGGGTTATTAATTCTGATGTAGTGTTTATAGATTGGTGTGACTCACTGTTCTGTTGTAGTGTTTATAGATTGGTATGACATACTGATAGGGAGAGTTATTAATTCTGTTGTAGTGTTTATAGATTGGTGTGACTCACTGAAAGGGAGAGTTGTTACTTCTGTTGTAGTGTTTATAGATTGGTGTGACTCACTGAAAGGGAGAGTTATTAATTCTGTTGTAGTGTTTATAGATTGGTGTGACTCACTGAAAGAGAGAGTTGTAACTTCTGTTGTAGTGTTTATAGATTGGTGTGACTCACTGAAAGGGAGAGTTATTACTTCTGTTGTAGTGTTTATAGATTGGTGTGACTCACTGAAAGGGAGAGTTGTTACTTCTGTTGTAGTGTTTATAGATTGGTGTGACTCACTGAAAGGGAGAGTTATTACTTCTGTTGTAGTGTTTATAGATTGGTGTGACTCACTGAAAGGGTTATTACTTCTGTTGTAGTGTTTATAGATTGGTGTGACTCACTGAAAGGGAGAGTTATTACTTCTGTTGTAGTGTTTATAGATTGGTGTGACTCACTGAAAGGGAGAGTTATTACTTCTGTTGTAGTGTTTATAGATTGGTGTGACTCACTGAAAGGGAGAGTTATTACTTCTGTTGTAGTGTTTATAGATTGGTGTGACTCACTGAAAGGGAGAGTTATTACTTCTGTTGTAGTGTTTATAGATTGGTGTGACTCACTGAAAGGGAGAGTTATTACTTCTGTTGTAGTGTTTATAGATTGGTGTGACTCACTGAAAGGGAGAGTTATTACTTCTGTTGTAGTGTTTATAGATTGGTGTGACTCACTGAAAGGGAGAGTTATTACTTCTGTTGTAGTGTTTATAGATTGGTGTGACTCACTGAAAGGGATAGTTATTACTTCAATAGCTGTATGTCTACATTCATGAACTTGTTGTCAAGACATGGGCTGTATTAAAGAAATAGATGTTGAGACATAGGCTATATTCGTGAATTAGTTGTTAATACAAAGACCAATACTATGAATTAGTTATTAATACAGAGATTATATACATGAATGTTTCTGTTAACACACAGACTATGTTCATGAACTAAGTGTTACCTCATATACTATATTCATTAATATGTTGAGACATAGACTGTGTTCATGAACTATTTGTTAAGACATAGATAACATACATGAAGTCATTGAAAGGCATTTAGAAGTGATACACATAAGGAAGAAAATGTATGGACTTCTTTGTTATGAGAAACACAACGTTTCGGAGTATATAATGCGACAAAATCCTTTCCACACCCAATAGAAATCTCTGCATTAAGCAGATTCCGACTTTATCATGAGCATGCTTTTATGAATCACTATCAAATAGTAAAGATACCAGGTGTTCGGGAAAAGGTGAGCGTATCCTGCCCCGCCAGTGGCGCCCGTCACAAACACATGCGAAGGCGCGCCAATTGTTCACATGAAAAAACACATATGGTACAAATCAAAATAGGGAATTGTATCAGACATCATATGCTTACTCCTTGATCGGGCGAAATACACTCTGAAACGTTGTGTTCCTCATAATAAAGAAGTTGACATCCAGAAATTCTATTCCTTATATATACATGAATCATCGCTTTTTTCTTGCAGTCAGCTTCTTGACAGACTTCATGTTCTCAGCCATGCTGGCATCGCCGGTAGTGTCCATACTAACAGGTGGCATGGTGGACTTCCTCTACTCCATACAGCCAGGTGAAGTGTCTGCATCCTGTATAACGTTATTTATTTAGTACCATGGATTGCTATTTTGCAAAGTAAATATCACCACATATTCCAATGCCTTCTGTGAATATAAAAGCCGAAATGATCTCTTCTCTCTTGAGAGTATGCATTATTTCTAATCGTTTCTTAATGCTATCCATGGTCATTTGAAGTAAGAAGATGAAATAAATACAGGAAATATCAAACCTGGAACGACTCTTAAATGATGTGGCCAAAAAAAGGTTTGACGCTATAATAAATGACGTCATATCATATTTATTTCTTCAATATAGCTGTATGACGTCATATAGATTCCAGGGATCATTTGTCTCGTGAGTGTCTAAATAACACTTGCACACATATTTTTATTTCTTTATTTCTTTATAAGTGGTATATGTATGGTTATAAACTAAGGACCAACAGAAGCTTTTCGCCTCAGGTGATTTTATTATATGTTTGATTTTCAATTGAAAATATCTTAACTTAGCGATATCATATCTAAAACATGAACTGTACTGGCGCTTAGTCAGCTCTCAAAGAATACTTCTACATGTTTTCATGTTTTAAAATATAATAGATGCGTACCTTAGACATTTTATCTTTGAAAATCAATACATCTGCTTGTTTCCGCACAATTTTAAAACGCGGTAGGGGTCTTGTAGTTGCAAATTCATTTCTTAACCCAATTTTCACGGATTTTTGGACAAAATTACCCAACCACACTTTTTACGTTATTGTGCTTTACACCAATTACTTTTCACAAACCGTTGCAGGAATTAGGGGTGGTTAAAAAGACAAATTGAATTTAACAACAGGGCTAGGTCTTTCAATTTTCAATTATATAAAAACAAACTCACTATACTTTCTTTTGACCCTCAGTTTAAGTGAAATTATTTTCAGTTTTCATTACTGAGCTTAATTATGTTTACTTCATGCTGATTGGATAGTTCGAGACAATTGTTGCACTGTTTTCATTGAATGTGAAGAGGCACATAGCTCGTGAAATCAACAGCTGTTTAATGTGACGTTGGCAATAGAAATAAAGAGATGATGTCTCCATTTTTCTTCATTTTCCTAAACAGAAACAATGGCTTCAAGAAAGAATAACACATTAACACATTCGCAACTCGGAAATACATAGTATCTGTCCCACGAGAATTTGTGTTGAATTTCCGAGTCAAAATAATTCACGCTCGGCAGATATTCCGAAATTCCTCGCAGCCCTTTTCGTATTACATTGACAAGAGCAATCAACGTCCACACACCTGTGAAGATCCGGGGTAGAATAGGTCTTCAGCAACCCATGCTTGCCGTAAAATGCGATTATGCTTGTCGTAAAAGGCGACTAACGGGATCGGGTGGTCAGGCTCGCTGAGTTGGTTGATGCATGTCATCGATCCCAATTGCGCATGCGTGGATCGATGCTCATGATGCTAATCACTGGATTGTCTGGTCCAGACTCGATTATTTACTGACCGCCGTCATATAGCTGGAATATTGCTGAGTGCGTTAAACACATTTATATTTGGCTAGGTATGGGTCGACAGCATAGTTAGTAAAACAATAGGCAAAACGCTTTGTCAGGACATCCAAGATGTTCAGCAATCAGTTTATTTAACCTGAGGAATTATCATATTTTGTAAAAATCACGCTTCCCCAAAAGTGTATGAAATGGTCGGTCCCTGAATTAATAAATATTTTTTTCTATTAACTGTAGAAACGAGGAGCCACAAGGCCAGGACACATAACGCTTTAGCTGTTCCTATTGTCTTAACCAACGTCCTGGCCGTGATTCTGTGCGCATGCGTCGTTGTCGAGAGAGAGGATATGACGTATATAACAGCCATCACTTCCGTGCTATACAGAACACTTCTCTACAGTGGCCTGACACTATTTACAAGATTATTGTAAGTTTTTGCTCAACATTAATCCTTGTCATTACTGGCATTGAAGATTCTATAAATAGCATTATCATATACCATCCAATATTGTTTTATATGTTATTCGATTTGTTGAAAAGTATGCCGATAAGGATCTCGGATAATACAATCAAGAATCCTACAAATTCCTGTATATAGTCTCGTTTTCCTGATTAAGTACTACCTGTTAAATCCAATATAAATTACTGTTACAACCCATCCTACTATATATTGTAAAAAAAAAATCGGTCCAATCGTCAATGTTCAGGACACATCCATTTATAATATTCTTATAACTAGCATTACCATATAGCATCCAATATTGTTTTATATAACCTCCGCTAGGTTGTGATTTGCGTATTTATTGATTGATTTTTAAAATTTACAATTATATAAACGAGGGAATCAAATAACTTCAGCAAATATTAAAATATTTATTCTTGTACTATTGATGTTTCTTTCATGTCAATGCGTACCTCGTCTATGTTCATTCCGTGACACACGTTTAGTGTATTTCTCTGCAATTATAATATGGCCCAAGAGGGTTCCCTTCTCATTAAAAACAAGACTTTTTTAATTATTAAAATTTATATTGAATCATAATATAATCGATTGTTTGATATCAAAGGACGCGGTAGGCCGAGTAGCCTAAGCCTCTCCATTTCACGGAGCACAGTTGCGCCCCTTAGGCGTGTCATGATCCAGTGATCGTGGTTCGAATCACAGATTCGCCATGATCTTAATCATTGGTTTGCCACATCATAACTAAACCCATGGGCTCTCCAAATGTGGTACACGTCTAAAATATGACCTGCATCAATACAGGGACGCACTTAACTGTTCACACATTGACAGAGCTGAAACAATGTTCAAAGAGGCGCAAAACAAAACAATGTGTGTTAATAACACGAAAGAGGGCAATTGGCTCCATGATATTTTATCCTGACCCACTCCTGTGACTATTTTATGACAACAGGGCATTAGAGTCGGTGCTTCGGATATTTGTGTTCTAAGAATGAGTATCATAACACAAAACCATTAAGAAATAAAAAGATATGGCTAGGTGCAAATAGTTTTTTGTTTTATCATAGACTTTTAACATTTTGTCAGATTTTTGTGAAAAATAATATCGCTGCTAAGCCTGAGTGAGTGAGTGAGTGAGTATGGTTTTACGCCGCTTTTAGCAATATTCCAGCAATATCACGGCGGGGGACACCAGAAATGGGCTTCACACATTGTACCCATGTCGGGAATCGAACCCGGGTCTTCGGCGTGACGAGCGAACGCTTTAACCACTAGGCTACCCGACCGCCCCGCTAAGCCTGAAACTCACACTTCTTCTGCAGATACCCGAGTGACTATTTCGCTGCTCTGTATGGCGTCATGTTCATGATCAGTGGCTTCGCGAGTTTCCTGCAGTACCCTCTGTTTCTCTGGTGCCAGAGCTCGCCAAGTGGATACAGACAGGTGAGTGTTATCCTCGGAGCATGACGTGTCAACGTCGTCACATGACTTCAGACAGAGAGGCGGCTGGGTGGTAAAAGCGTTCGCTCGTCACTCCGAAGACCCGGGTTCGATTTCTCACATGGGTCCTATATCTGTTGTTCCCCGCCGTGATATTGCTGGAATATTGCTGGAATATTGCTAAAAGCGGCGTTAATGTCACTCACTCACTCACTCAGGATCAGCAGACACCTATATGGAGCTTAAGGGACGTCACCGTCATATATAAAGTTCACAATGTTTTGTTTGTTGTTTAATACTGCTATGGTACGGCAGCCTATAAATAAACGAGTCTGTAAATAATTTCGAGTGATTCATATCGTGAACTAGCCATTCGACCAATTTGGTCGGCTCATAAGAGGTTGCTGGGGTCCTATTCTAGCACACACAGACACACAGACACACAGACACACAGACAGATACACACACACACACACACACACACACACACACACACACACACACAAAGGCTGGTGTAATGATTCACGCAGTGGGCTGGATCAAGGAGAGACGACCGTGGAGTTTAAAGGACACATTCACTCCGCTCTCTTTGTGTGAAAAGAGCACGTCCAAGCGGGGCAGTTCGTTGTGAGGAGTTACGTCCCTTAGGCGTGCCAGAATCCTGTGATCATGGTTCAAAACCAAGATTCGCCCCGATTGCGAATGTGGTAAACGCCTAAGACCTGTATCACTTCATTGTTATTTACAAATAAGTTGACTCGCCGTGATATAAGTGAAATACTGTTCAGAGCGTCGATAACAAAACTTGCTCATTCTGTGTATGAAGAATACATTTTTTCTCCTCAGGTATACAGCATGCTGGGTCTAACGTGTATACTGATATTAGTACAGCCGATATATCTGGTATATACAGGACGCAGAGAGAAGTAGTAACCACCTTTCCCTCTCAAGGATGCTTTGAGTGTTAATCAGCTCATACCAAAATTCATGGTATCACATTTTGGGTTGTGGCCAGTGGCTCACATCTAATGTGAAAAGACGGCGATCAAGTATCAAAAAAGAAACAGTGATGAACAGGCTATGTGCACCCAGGGCCAAATTCACAATCCTACAAATGATGATAACTGAAAATAAACAATGATTAAAAAGCGAGCGTAGCCCTACAGATGCTGCAATTCTAAAGCATTAACGTAATCTTATATTGGTCGCTAAATCGGCTTGGAGAACAAGGACTTCAGTTTGAAAATGACTATTGAGAAACATTACATGTGTGAATTGTGAACTGAATTTTCCTGACCACAAATTCTTCATTCATGGACGTGTTGGCATCTTTATTTGTTGTGAAATGCGGGCCAATCCTGGGCATGTTATTTTGTGTATCATTGAGTTATGAAAACATATGGCACAATCCTGGTGTAATTGCTTTATCGTAACATGCGGTTGATCTTGACTAAATATGTCAGCATATATAATTGCTTTACCATAATCGTGGTTCTATATGTCAGTATTTAATTGCTGTACCGTAACACGGGACATTATCGTTGTTCTATCTGTCAGTATATATCGTTTTTACCGTCACACGTGGCATAATCATGTTTCTGTCTGTCAGTATATATCTTCTTTACCGTAACACGTAGCATAATCGTGGTTCTATCTGTCAGTGTATATCTTCTTTAACGTAACACGTGGCATAATCGTGGTTCTATCTATCAGTATATATCGTCTTTACCGTAACATGTGGCATAATCCAGGTTTTATTTGTCAGTATATATCGTTTTTACCGTCACACGTGGCATAATCATGTTTCTGTCTGTCAGTATATATCTTCTTTACCGTAACACGTAGCATAATCGTGGTTCTATCTGTCAGTGTATATCTTCTTTAACGTAACACGTGGCATAATCGTGGTTCTATCTATCAGTATATATCGTCTTTACCGTAACATGTGGCATAATCCAGGTTTTATTTGTCAGTATATATCTTCTTTACCGTAACACGTGGCATAATCGTGGTTCTATCTGTCAGTATATATCTTCTTTACCGTAACACGTGGCATAATCGTGGTTCTATCTATCAGTATATATCGTCTTTACCGTAACATGTGGCATAATCCAGGTTTTATTTGTCAGTATATATCTTCTTTACCGTAACACGTGGCATAATCGTGGTTCTATCTGTCAGTATAAATCTTCTTTACCGTAACACGTGGCATAATCGTGGTTCTATCTGTCATTATATATCGTCTTTACCGTAACATGTGGCATAATCCAGGTTTTATCAATCAGTATATTATTTCTTTACCGTAACAAGAGGATTAATCCTGATTATAAATGTCCGCATATATAATGTCCTTAGCTTAACGTGTGGCATTATCGTGGTGACAGTGCCGCGATGGGGTAGCCTAGTGCTTATAGCGTTTGCTCATCACGCCGAAGGCCTGGGTTCGATTCCCCACATGGGTACAATGTGTGAAGCTGGTGTCCCTCGCCGTGATATTGCTGGAATATTGCTAAAAGCGGCGTAAAACCATACTCACTCTCTCTATATGTCTGTGTATAACTGCTTAATACTGGTTATAATTGCCAGGGTACAATAGAGTAAATTTTTAAACATATGTTACAAATCTTGTCACGTCTACCAGTGTATTATCGAGGTACAACAACTTATCGATATATGGAAATACATATGTATTACATGTGGTCTCTGTTCTGGACATATGTATCAGTGTATAAGATCAGCCAAATTACTTTTTTCTAAATATATTTATTGTTTATAATTGGTCAGTCGACGACTATGCACAAACACAAGTATGAAACTCCACACTTCAAATAATCGTGATCATTCATACACATGCACCTCCATAGCTTTCTTCCACAATACAAAGGGGAACATGTAGCCAAGTCGTCTAAGGCGCCGCGATTCGCTGTGCAGAGTTGCGTCCCTTGGGCACGTCAGAAACATATGATTGTGGGTACGAAGCCCGGTTCGCCCCGATTATGTTTCTAGGTTTTTCAGCACCATACACGTGCTCGTGGGTTTCACCGAAGTGGTAAACGTCTGAGACCTGCACCACTTCGGGCTTTACCCCAACATTAAGCTGACACGCCGTGACATAACTGGAATACTGTTAAAAGCTCCACAATCCAGGGACGGTCGGGTAGCCTAGTGGTTAAAGCGTTCACTCGCCACGCCGAATACCCGGGTTCAATTAAAAGCGGCTTAACACCATAATCACTCACTCACTCTTCCATAATACAATTAAGAAACTTCTCATTGCATGTGTTTCATGGACCATATACCTCTCGGAAAGCCAATGACAGGCAACAAGCCAGCATTCATGATTGGAGCTCGGTTACCTACTAACTTACTAGACAGGTGTATTTCGAACAACTTTATTATGTAATGGAACTATATGATATGTACTTACAGCAGAAACAAGTAATTATCCTCGGTGATTTTAATGCGGACATACGCCATACCGTCAACAGGCGTACTCGATCCAAATTCCTTCAAAGAATGTTCGAAAAGAGAGATCTATTCTATGTAGTATCTTTAGATGACACTTCCCACAGACATTAACAAACAAATATCAGTACAATCATTGATTATGTCTTTGTTAACATTGATTATCTACCAAATGCCTTTGGATATGCTATAGATACAGGGGTATCAGCATTTCAGATCATTTGCCAATTCTTGTCTGTATTAGAAATGACGAGACCCGTGAAGATCCGGGTTAGAATAAGTCTTCAGCAACCCTTTCTTGTCGTTAAAGCCGACTATGCTTGCCGTAAAAGGCGACTAACGGGATCGGGTGGTCAGGCTCTCTGACTTGGTTGATACATGTCATCGTATCCCGATTGCGTGGATCGATGCTTATGATGGACCAAAACGCTCATTTCCACGACGAGAAACACGTTGTCTTCCATCTCTCCGATGAAGAAGAAATCGTGATTCATAGCTTAACCACACTCGTCTCCAGTTTCTCAAATTCCAAGGCTGTAAGGTATGGCACCGACGCAAGCGTCGCTGTCGGTGGATCTGTTGCAAAACAGGGACGATAACTGGTCTTATGGGTCGGATTCCAGCTTCGCTAAGATGGTTCCTGACAGTCTGGTCTGATATCCTCCTCATATAACCAGGGATGCGTCCTGCAGTCTCCGAAACTGTGGCATTGAGATGACGTAGATGGAACAGTCGAATGTAGCGATCATGTGCAGGGGTTGTAACTCTTGGTCGGCCGGTTCGCGGACGGTCTGTGGTGGAATTGAACTGTGTGTTTCAGTCCCAAAAGCGGCCAATGGTGCTGTGGTGGACGTTGAAGTGGCGTGCAACAGAAGACTGCGATTCCCCTCTTGGATACGTCCTGTGGCGATGTTCCGATCGACAGCGCTAAGTTTCGGCGCTTTCGAACTTGAAAAATGTTGACAATTGAATGACAAATATTTGGCTTATGCTTGCCTTTTTTATAAGCACTACGACGAATTACGAATATCATAACTGATTATGCTGAACTTGTTCTCATGTTTTACAAAAAAAACACCGTTCCCTGGACCTTGAAGATGTTCTGATAATAAACGTGTTGTGGTCCAAAGCCATTGTTTGACTCTTCATTTCAGCGAAAGGGGACCGCATCTGTGGTCTAGTGGTAGAACGTCTGCCCAGAGAACACCTCCGTGACCTAGTGGTAGAGCGTCTGCCCAGAGAACGCCTCTGTGGTCTCCTGGTAGAACGTCTGCCCAGAGAACGCCTCCGTGGTCTAGTGGTAGAACGTCTGCCCAGAGAACGCCTCAGTGGTCTAGTGGTAGAACGTCTGCCCAGAGAACGCCTCCGTGGTCTAGTGGTAGAACGTCTGCCCAGAGAACGCCTCCGTGGTCTAGTGGTAGAACGTCTGCCCAGAGAACGCCTCCGTGGTCTAGTGGTAGAACGTCTGCCCAGAGAACGCCTCCGTGGTCTAGTGGTAGAACGTCTGCCCAGAGAACGCCTCCGTGGTCTAGTGGTAGAACGTCTGCCCAGAGAACGCCTCCGTGGTCTAGTGGTAGAACGTCTGCCCAGAGAACGCCTCCGTGGTCTAGTAGAGAGAGTGTCTGCCCGGAGAGCGGAAGGTCGTCGGCGCACCATACCAAACTACGTTGAAAGATGTCACTTGTTGTTTTCTTGCCTGGTGCTCGGCATTAAGTGTCAATAACAAGGACTGGTGGGCTAGGAGTCCATGTACTTTGTCTGAGTGGGGTATCGATGTTAAACTGCATGCACGTCGTCTATGTACATTTATCTGCAATAATCTGGAAAGACACGTTAAACCACATTTCACCTCACCTCACCTAAGTGAAAAGGTTGCACGTCTTGAAGTGCAGACTGAAAATATATTCCATGTCAGGGCGCCCAGGACGCCAAGTCTCTTGCGGACTGTGGATTTTAAATTAAGAAAATAATCACCACGGACCCCGCTCTAATTTACACAGAGAAAGATAAATAAGGTTGGAACTAACACACTTTGGAAAGATGAGCACAGGCAACCAATGCCCCGAAACCAATAATACTTGGAGCTCACGTAAAATCTCCATGCTTAGATACCATGGATTTCATGTGGCCTCCTTGGGCCTGGAGGTCGTCATGGCCGCCTGGAGACCATTATAACAAACGCATTAAGATTATTAATTGACGTTCATTACCCTGATCTACTCCCATTATTGGGCCATCAAAGGTAAAGCATGATGCATTAATTCCCTTCAGCATTGTGACCAATATAGCAGCTACAACAACGATAGTAACACCATTGAACGACGAGTTGAGGAGACACATGGGATTTCGCCAACGCTGACTAATCACTTTCACAGAGTCTGCACACTTTAATGTTTGTGTATTGCGCGATATAAATATTTTTCACCGAGATGTGACATTTCACGAAATACTGTAATGGTTTGAATATTTTCTATTAAGTTTTGGCGAAACAATAATCGTTATAATATTGTTTGACGAATTTCTTTTTCCATATCTGTTTATATCGCAACACATTTGTTGACGAAAAACTCTCTTTACTCTGTCACAGGACACGTTGCCTAGGTATCATGTTCAGTTCTAACAAAATGTGTGAGTGAGTGAGTATTGTTTTACGCCGCTTTTATAAATATTCCAGCAATATCACAGCGGGGGACACCAGAAATGGGCTTCACACATTGCACCGATGTGGGGAATTGAACCCGGGCCTTCGGCGTGATGAGCAATCGCTTTAACCACAAGGCTACACCACTGCCCCTCTAAAATTATGAAAAATATGGCTTAGACAACTTACGTCAAGTTATGCAATGTCATTCACATCAAGTTAATCAGTAAAGGTTTGTGAGTACCTTCCGCTCGATGTCAACGTTGAATAAACGTTGAATTAACGTTGACATTTGATGCAAAAGTTCACAGAACCCCACATATATTACCTGCCAAGTTGAAGTCGTAGCAAGCATAAACACTGTATAGAATTACATTGCAGTTGATAATCGTCGTGTAAAAAATAAACCATGGCGTTGTAAAGTGTACGCTACTCGGTCGAAAACAGTCACCGAAACTATGATACCCGTATCAAATACACCACCATCGAATAACCATTTCTTGTTACTTTCATTTTACATGGGTGGATTAGGAGATGAGCATACCGTGTCTTCAATGTAGAGCTAGGTCGACTTTTGATTGAACAGCGCTAAACTGAATTTAAAAAAGAACACACTTGCATTTGCTTCAAACAAAATGGCGGCGATCGAAAATCAAGATA